CTAGGTTTCTGGAGTAATAATTCAGCCTATGGTGCGGAATAATCTAACCTTATGTCCAGACGAAGGATCGAATTACATATGTCCACACACACAAAGTCCATCCGTGCTGAGGGACAGTGAGGAGCCTTGCTGGGCCAGGTTTTCATCGGGCGTGGTCGCGGGTTAACGCGACTCTGGCGTCGGCCGGATCAACAGTGTTGCACCTGATGCCTCCCAGCCCTTGTCCGGTCGTCGAAATGGGTGGCCTGGTCCAAACCTGCCACATCGTTTGCCAGGCAGTCAGCAGTTTCGTTTCCATGATTGAAACTGGCGTCAGCCAGTCGTCAATGCAGAGTTGCTGTTGTGTTTGTGAAAGGCTGGGAGCCTGTCATATAACGTGTGCACCAGGCTCTGTAGTTTAGCAGACTGTTGAAGCATATGGCCAGAAAGCGCAGCAAATGCTTACCTGATTTTGGGCCCGGGATGAGGCGGATCTCGTTGAAATGCCTGAGGTCCGAGGCAAGCAGACCGTGCACAACCTCCCGCGTTTCCAAACAGCATCAGCTGTGTACGCGACCCCCTATGGTTTTCGGAGGATACCTCTGTGTAATGTCGTGCAGTAGCGTCTAAGTTTTTGGTATTTCCCTGGCATTCATGGCACGAGTTGTGGCGTGTCCCCGACAATTTTGCTGTCTGAGCAGCTGCCTTCTCTTACGAGCACTATAGATCAATCCACGGCTGATGCGGGCGACGGGCGGCAACTGACCATCACCCACAATACTGGGGAACGCGCGGCTGGCCTCCAACGCTGCTTAAGGGCATGTGCAGTTCAGTAAGTTCAATCTCGGGAAAAATTTGGTTTTGACCGGGCGTTCAGGAGTGAATTGTTCACTTGGCAGCATGCCAATTATTGCTTGTTACGAGATGTTTTTAAGATGGGTGAAAGTGCAATGGATGAAAGTGAAATGAATGAAAGTGAAAGTGAAATGGATGGGATGGGTGAAAGTGAAACAGATCACATATTCCACGGCAGCGAGTCGGCTTCTTCGAAGCGATGCCTCCAGTAGTCACGTCGTGACGCCTATTAGCCAATCCAGGCAATATTTGTGACCACAATGCTGTAAACCTGTTCTTACACTGATGACACATAACTCGTAATCATTGGCCTGCTTGAGGCATCTAAGGTACTATTTCTCACAAATCGTGATCATTCTGGGTATTTTGCAAAGATACGTGGAACGTTACCGTTGGCTTTCCGCAGCACTGGTTTTGTGTCGCGGAACAAAAGCAGTGGCTTCCTGGCACCAAGTTTTGTTTTGTGGATGCGCCTTTTCTACCGCCTTGAACTTCGGCTCGTGTTGATTTAAGTCAGGGGCGGATTCAGTATTTGTCAAAAAGGGACCACGCTTCGCTGTTGTACCCTCTGAAACATGGTGTTCCACTAAAAAGTGTCCCCGGGCATTGAACACTTCATTTCCTTTTTTCACCCGAAATGGTCCACCGTACTTGACCACTGTACTCCGAGGGGTAAATTTTCCGTTGTGTCATCATTTCTTGTTAAATCTTTTTAACTGAAAGCCAAGCCAAGAGCTAACAGAAGATAAGACAGATTAAGTGTGAGGAAGATAATAATAATATTCACCATGTATCAGAAATAAATAAACTGAATTTAAATAGAACTGAAATAACTACATCGAATTAAACACTGGCCCTATTCAATTAGAGTGCACCATTCATCCTTTCTGTCCAACGATAACCAACGAAGGTCAATGGAATTTGTTCATTCAGTTGTTGTGCTACTTAAGAAAGGATCTCAGAGATGTATGGCTTCGTCTAACACTCTGTTGCTGCATCAGATTGAACAATGCCCTAGAAATTGGCTTCGCTGAATCCATGGTCTGACTTTGACCTGCCGTAGGTTAGCAACCTAACAAAGTATACCTAATGGCTTATACCAAGCGATCCGCTATTTATTTGTCTACAGCTATGCAAAAATTTGGCATGCGCCGTGCTGCTCGAAAACCATTCCGTAAAAGCTTTTGGGGGTTTAGTTTGACCTCCACCCGAGCACGTGTTATCACCTTAGTCGTCATTTACCATATCTTCTTTCATTGCCATGCGGGCCCCGCCGAGAGCAACAGGGCCTATGACATTTGGGGTCTCGTACCTGGCCCTGCTCAGTCGGCGTGCCCGGTCGACATGAGCGCATTGCCGGCATAGTGTCTCCTGTTTGGTATTCTGGGTCCCTGACCAGCACAGTGGACCCCTCACTGTTGCAGGGGCCCGGCCAGTGCAAGAGACCTTCCGATTAACACTTGCAGACCCCAACCTCGCCCCTGCATGGGAAGGCGGTTACCTAGCGCTCAGACCGGCACAGAACAGACTGATCGGCGTCGGTGGTTCCAGCTGGCTAACGCAGGCTATTTCATGCGGTCACCGATCGGTACATGAGGTTCTGTGACTAGCATTTAACGTTTGATATGTTACCGTCCGACTTTCGCGCTGGGGTCTTTTACCGTGACCTCCGCTCTGTACCTCGAACGCTCCAATTAAGCCCTTGGTCGTCGACCCCAAGGTCAAAAGGTCCCTATGAACCTTCGGGGCCTGACAACCTGAAGGGGAGTCGGGGGTATTTGCGTACATGCACGCAGACGTCGCAGCAAGAGGACATCGCGATTGTCACGCTATTCGTCACTCGCCATTCGCCACTCGTCATGCGTCACTCGTCTTACGTCACTCGTCATTTTCAGTTTTTCCAGCACAGTGGGCCATCCAGGTTAGTTTGAGACTTAACACGCGCCCTTGTGGCCGGCTGGATACCCTTCACTCGGGTGGGGGTGGGGGTGGGGGGCCAATTTGATCCCCTGAGATTTTGGAAACCAAGAGAGCTAGACACCAAATTTATGGGGTGTGTCAACCTGTACGTGAACTCACTTATATCAATGTTTCACGTTCCTGGGGCATGATCTTCGGGTTAAATGACGTCAAATAAGGTCGAAGTCCAGGTTGGTCTCCAAAGTGTCCCCAGAACCTAGATAACCGTTTCTAAGCAAAAGGTCACATGCTCATTTAATGCTAATGACCTTGTTTGACCTTTTGAAGGTCGTGGTGACCAAAATTATACCAGACTGTTCTGAGTTTTGCATTTAAATAAGCGACAAAGATTACGCTAGGCATTATGTTCCGAGAAACAAAATGTTGACCTGGGTCATTTTAGGCGAATGACCTTTTCCCGCCTTTAAGAAGTCCATATAATATGTATAATGCGGTTCCTGCTATCAAAAAATTCAAAATGAGCACCCGAAACTACCCCATTTAGCAAGCCCTAGAGTTAAAAAACAGGTTGGTTTTGACCTTGGTCTGACGTTCACACCTGACCTTAGGTCAATATAATTGGCCCATTCCACTGTTGTATTGCCCAAGAAAGCATCTCAGAGATGTATGGCTTCGTCTAGCACTCCGCTGTTGCATCAGATTGAACGATTCCCCAGAAATTGACTTCGCAGAAACCATGGCCTGCATTTGGTCTGCCATAGGTCAGCAACCTTACAAGGTACACTTACATTTATGATGCCAAACGACCCGCTATTTATTTATCTACAACTATGCAAAATTTTGTTGCGCTACATCACGCCGTTCGGAAACTATTCTGGAACAACCTTCGGGGGGGGGGGGGCATTTGACCCCCACCGAGCGCCTGGTAGAGTCCCAAAGAACTTCGAAATGACCTCGCGCGGCCCGACCTGACGGGTAAATTATACGACACACTGTGCAGCAACTCTTGGGAAGATCACAACAGCCCTTCTGAAAGCGCGCAAACTGTTTCTTTGTCTGCTCTCGCACGCCAGGCGTGGAGCAGTTCCTAGTGCCGCCCACTCCTTGTTCCCGGAACGCTGTGAAAGGTGGCAAAGCCGGCGGCGAGCCAGCGCCGGCGATACCGGTGACGGCTGGCAACAGCGGTGAAAAAAGCTTCCGATTTACTGAACAGAAGCGGTAACAAAAATAGACACTTGCGAGCTGATTGGGGACAGACTTGCGAAAATGGAAACAAGTTACAGCATGGCATCCCACTTAAGGCAAACTAAAAAACTAGGATTGGCCTGTACCCGCTAACGCTTGCAGTGTGAGCTTGTGTAGAGCGTATGTCATAACATTAACGTTGTGCTGCAGGAGCAAGTTGATCCACAAAATGTCTCCAAGCATATAAATTTTATCAGGATAGCTTTTAGCATGTAACAGAAATAAACTAAAAAACTGTACCATGCCAGTGCCGACGTCATGGGCCAGTAATGATACAGTGCTTTTCCAATGCCCCATCAGATCAGTGTTTTCGCAGACTTTGCAGCCAAGACCAACCTTACACAGGTAACAGCATACAATAACAAATAATTAGGTTTATGACTAGTCGTAAAAAACGTGGCTAGTCCCAGCACCTCGTGATGAATATGATCAGTCTCCTACGCGGCGTTTTAAAGCGTCGTGCCATTTGAGACAGGCTTCCAACGCTCGTAACGCGACTGGGAATCGTGTTCAGTGCAGGGCTGTAGGTCGCCGTTGGTTGTGTTCATGTGATGAGAAGCATACCGGCTTGAAATACGTAGCTACTCGTCAGCTTCTTTAATGTGATTTACGACACTTTTACGTTTCTTCCATTGAGGGCGTCGCTGGTAATACGTTAAAAAGGAACGCCAAATCAGGAAGGTTGTTTGTGGATATCCAAACCGTAGCTTCAGACGTCAACGGGGGACGTTGGAGCGCCGCATATCAAGGATTCATCTGGAGCGACACTTGTCATGGGTTCTCACCTTGACCGTCGTTGGCCTCGTCCCTGCTCGCGATCAGAGATCAGCCCGCGGGGCATCCGGATGGACAGCCAATGTGCGTCGGGCTCACGCGTCGCGGGGTCATCCGGGCACCCGCCCTTCTCGCCGTCGTGTATATAATGGCGGGAGGGGATTTGGGGCCATCAGTCGACCTCAGGAGTCCAGCAACACACATATCACACCATGAAGTTTGTGAGTGACTGGCGCTTTGCGTTGAAGGAGACATAACAAACCGATATCTGGTTCTGGAACGATGGCAATTGGAAGCAATGATGGCAATGACAATGACGGTATGGGTACGGCATGTGCATTGCTGTCTCAGTAACGTGTCCTCGAATGTCCTCACCCATCTCGGCCCCGGTTGTTCGCAGTGTTGCAAGCTTCGTCCAGGTCTTGGGATGTCCCCCTGAATTTTGGCCTCGTTATGAGCTGCTCACCGCTTTTGTCCGGCAGCGACACCAAGCGGTGTGAGGAGGGTCGCTTGTATCCCCTCCTTACCACCTTCGACCTCGCTCGGTGCACGTCTCCTATCTCCAGTATTGCCAGCCCGTGGACACTGAATTCCTCATTGGGTCTTAAGCGCAACCTCCGGGACGTGTCATCCTCTCAACATACCTGAGACGTGCACGCTCCTGGCGTCAGCCTCATCCGAGCTGACCCGGCCCGACCTGGTCGGCAGGTGCTGCTCGCCGCTGTGCTGCTGGCCTCTGCCGCCGCCCGGCCTCAGGACGCCATCCTGCCTGAAGTGATCAGCTCGCGGCACATGCAGAACGAGGACGGCTCTTTCGCGTACGGGTACGAGCAGACCGACGGCCAGGTGGTGGACGTGCAGGGCGAGCAGCGCCAGATTGGTGACGAGGTCGGCACCGTCATGAGCGGCAGCTACAGCTTCGTCGGGCTCGACGGCGTCGTCTACACGGTCACGTGGACAGCCGACGAGAACGGCTTCCGGGCGACGGGCGATCACTTGCCGCGGAGCGTCTGAGGCACGCCGCCGATGTGACCTGCCGCTGACCTGACCTGCTGCCGACCAGACCTGCCGCGTCCCGGGCAGGTGTCTGTCGGTGCCCGCCGAGGTATGTGTGGGATGTGCAAACGCTGGTCAAGCGAAGTGCACTCGGTCGCCGGACTCGGTGATAAAAGAGACGTGCATGCGGCTGCCTTCACGGTCTCAGCGCTGGTGTCTGTGTCTCGCTGCGTACGCGAATGTGCATTGGGGAGTCTGCATCTCGCTGCACGCTCGGCTACCTGCTGCTACAGCTTGTGCATGCCATGTCATGCCATGCCATGCCAGCCATGTGCAGGCAAATCGATTAGCAATACACATCAGCTGCTCGGAGCCTTTGTTTACGCTGCGCTCACATACATTCACTTGGGGTGATCGTGCGGAGACATCCCAGCGGCTCAGGCAATCGGTCGAAGAAAGGCTGGAAGACGGATTCATCCCCTCAACATGCTCGCTTTTGATTGTTTTGTATTCTTTCTGTGGGACAGGCCACGCAACGACGAACAGCCACACATGCATATGACGGATGGTTTTAGGATCCGGAGACGACGTGAACCTCGTCGGGAGTGAGGGGAAGAAATGGAATGTGAAGAACAGCCTAACAACCTGTTAAAAACGAACTCTAGTGGCGTAGTTGTGAAAATGCCATTTTGTTAAGTAAATCAGGATGAGCCCATATTGACGAAAGTGGTAAAGGCATAGGTACCCAGATCTCTATTTGTATTTCAAACGATGCGTATGGGCACCACTCCAAAGGTCAGTAGCGACGAGGTATTCTGGAGTTCTCTGATATATATATATATATATATATATGTATTCATATATATTCATATATATATATTCATATATATATATATATATATATATATATATATTCATATATATATATATATATATATATATATATATATATATATATATATATATGTATATGTAATGTTTCACGTATGCGTATAAACGCAAGTATATGAAAGTTTACGCTTGTGTTACCTCTGACAAAATTTGCGCTCTGATTTTGGGTTCTAGGGACATTCGAGAATTCCTACGTTCTCTACACGCTTACGCAGAAATATTTTTTAACAAAAAATCTGACTTAGCGAGGCCCTTGTGATGGCGAGAACGCGGTCGCGGTACATTCATCGTTGCTCAAAACGTGGTCCATTTCACTCATGTTAACAATTTGTTGTCACCGACGGGAGTGAAACAATGCTTTTGATTTACCCTATGTAATCAATGGTAAAAATGAGCGCTTTTTCCAGGTGACAAAACGGTGAAAGGGGAAGTAAAATGCAACGGACCATCCCAGTTGGACCAAACACAAAGCGCAATATTGTTCTGAACTCGCTGACGCTTAAAGTGTGAGCAAGTTTAGAGAATATGTAAGCATTGGCGTTGCGATTTATGAGTAAGTTGAGCCGCATAATATTTCCAAATACAGTAGCTTTAATAAGGATAGCTTTTAGCATGTGACAGCAACATACTTTAAACTATACTATATCGGTGCTGACGTGGCAGATCAGTGATGACGCAGTGCATTTCCAATGCCCCGGTGATCAGTGATCTTCACAGATTTTTAAGCCAAGTTTCACTTCACATACCTAACAGTATAAATACCAAATAACTAAGATCACAACTAGTCCTGAGAGAATTGGCCGACCTCAGCAGCTTGTGACAAACATGATCAGTCTGCGGCGTTTTAAAGCGTCGTGCCATTTGAGACAGGCCTCGAACGCTCGCAACGCGGCTGTGAATCGTGTTCAGTGCAAGCCTGCAGGCTACCGTTGGTGGCGTCCGTGTGATAGAAGCACACCGGCTTGAACTGCGTAGCTAGTTGTCAGCTTCTTTAAGGTGATGTGCGGCACTTATAAGCATCTTCCATGGAGGGCGCCCTGGTAAAAGCGTTAAAAAGCCCTGGTGATCTGGGAGGCGCACTGCTTGTGGATATCCGAGCTGTACCTTCAGAGGTTAATGGAGCATGTTGGGGCGACGCATGTCAAGGATTCATCCGAAGCCTCCTGCCGCCGAGAGGAACAGCGGCTTTGCGGTAAGAGGCTGGGTATCGCCGGAGTAGGCCTCTCACACTATCCGGCACGAGTCATATCTTGCAAACCGACCGGTACACAGACGTCAGACAAAACGCTCAAACATTCAAAAATGTACCTTGATTTTCTGATACCACGGTATTGCACCGCCACCAGCGCTGTCCGTTGGTCGCTATGTAGCGCTCCTAAGAACATCACTCGAGGCTAGGGGCGCGTCAAGACACCCGCAGTGAATACCTCAGAAGATACCGAAAACTTGGGTGCGATTACACAACACGCCGGAAAGTTGTCCCCAGAAAGCCTCGTCGGTGAATTCCTTCCTCTTGCAACATAAGCGGGCGTTGGGCTTGTAATTGTATGGGTCGATTTCCACTCCACTTATTGCTATGCCACATGATAGATTTATGAATCCTCAGAATCCTGGACGCTAATCCTGCTCTGAATTGTTTTTAGTCCCACATTGTGGGTGAGCGACACATTTATCAAGGACAGGGAACATTTGTCGTACATAGCTTTCGTTTAATGTAAGGGCTTCACCCATCCGTAGTGAAAACTAGTGGTTTCAAATCCAATTCTAGGTTTCTGGAGTAATAATTCAGTCTATGGTGTGGAATAATCTAACCTTATGTCCAGACGAAGGATCGAACTACATATGTCCACACACACAAAGTCCATCCGTGCTGAGGGACAGTGAGGAGCCTTGCTGGGCCAGGTTTTCATCGGGCGTGGTCGCGGGTTAACGCGACTCTGGCGTCGGCCGGATCAACAGTGTTGCACCTGATGCCACCCAGCCCTTGTCCGGTCGTCGAAATGGGTGGCCTGGTCCAAACCTGCCACCTCGTTTGCCAGGCAGTCAGCAGTTTCGTTTCCATGATTGAAACTGGCGTCAACCAGTCGTCAATGCAGAGTTGCTGTTGTGTTTGTGAAAGGTTGGGAGTCTGTCATATAACGCGTGCACCAGCCTCTGTAGTTTAGCAGACTGTTGAAGCATATGGCCGGAAAGCGCAGCAAATGCTTACCTGATTTTGGGTCCGGGATGAGGCGGATCTCGTTGAAATGCCTGAGGTCCGAGGCAAGCAGACCGTGCACAACCTCCCGCGTTTCCAAACAGCATCAGCTGTGTACGCGACCCGCTATGGTCTTCGGAGGATACCTCTGTGTAATGTCGTGCAGTAGCGTCTAAGTTTTTGGTATTTCCCCGGCATTCATGGCACGAGTTGTGGCGTGTCCCCGACAATTTTGCTGTCTGAGCAGCTGCTTTCTCTTAGGAGCACTACAGGTCAATCCACGGCTGACGCGGGCGACGGGCGGCAACTGACCATCACCCACAATGCTGGGGAACGCGCGGCTGGCCTCCAACGCTGCTTAAGGGCATGTGCAGTTCAGTCAGTTCGATCTCAGGAAAAATTGGGCTTGATCTGGCGTTCAGGGGCGAATTGCCAATTATCATGCCAATTATTGCTTGTTACAGGATGTTTTTGAGACGCATCTATGGCATGTTTCCGCGAGGCCCTTTCTTTCTTAGTTTGGACACTGCGGGCACGTCGGATCGACCACCTCTCATCGCCCCCCCCCCCCCTCCCCCAACAGTCGTCATGAAAAATAGTAGATTAGGGCGAGGGTCAAGCACTTCGCAGCGCCGCGCAAGCGCTTCACGACCCTGCATCGGACACGCGACCTCTCCTGTGCCCGACACGCTGCCGCTCCGGTGTCGAACGTGCGTCCACCGTAGTGCCGAACAGGCACCGACTCCAGTGCTGGATACGCGACGTCTCCTGAGCCGGATAACTGACCTCTTCTGTGCCGGACACGCGGCAGCTCCAGTGCCAAAAGCGCATCCATCCCAGTGCTCGACGGCAGCCCCCGTGTCAGACGCGCGCCGTCTCTTGCGCTGGATATCCGGCCTCTCTTGTGCCGAAAACACGGTCACCCTAGTGGACGACGGCTGCTTCTGTGCCGGACATGCAGCCCTTCCCGTGCTGGACCCACGGTCGGTCCAGTACCAGATACGCGGCCGGTCCAGTACTGGACAGGCGACCCGTCCAGTACCGGATACGCGACCATTCCTGTGGCGGACAGACATTCGTGTCAGACACGCGGCCGCTGCCGTGTTTGGAAACCGGCCGCTTTTGTGTCGGACGTTCGACAGCCCCACGGACTCGAAACAGTGACGCCGCAGTGAGAGGCTCATCGCCGCTACAATGACGCACTGGCACCGCGCGATCTGCTACGATGCAGTATACGCCCCGCAGTATAGTACGCCCTGTTCTATCTTTAAGAGTTCATGATACGTGATCATTAGGTCTTAGGAGATCCACAGTTGGAACATGTGATGTGCTGTGCGTGGATATGCCCATAACAGGATAGCGGACAAATGCTATCAGCGGTTATTAAATCTACGCTGCACAATTGCTATTTTAAAGGGTCGCGATCTTGTCCTACGAGCGGTGCTGGAACCAGGATTGTTGCGAAACGCTAACCAAGGTCGTCATTGGACGCGATAGTCCAAATCCAGAATCCAAAATAACCCAAAATCGCCCCAAATCCAAAATAACCAGCCAATCTCGCTAAGTGCGACCCATCACTCGGACATTGACCCGCCATCCATGTAATCCAGGCCATGAAATAAGTTATCCAGTGCTGGATTTCTGGTTGATGGTTCTGGCTTTGGGAGTAAATATTCCCAATGCGCGGAATATCAAAGCTTGAAATTCGAACTTGAGAACCTATGGAAAACTGTGAATCTTCGTTTCAGGCCATGCTCCGACAGAACATGGCAGCGTTTCAAATCGAGATGACGTGGCTTCTAGCATCAAAAAAGGAGTGTGCGGCCTGCCAGCAAAGCTGCGGACCGTGATTTTTATGGATGGGCTGAACCCTGCAAAGCCGACGTGTTCATCGGCATTAAGCCTGCTGCTCCGGCCACTTGTGCACTGGGACCTGTGTCCCAACCAGCGGGACTCCTGGCATGGCCAGCAAATGATACTTTTGTGGTTGGGGAAAATTCCAGAAACGATTTTCTTTAAAATATGACGCATTGCATTCTGTTTATTTTTGTTCCGTGTGATTTATCCCACTAGAAGCTATATCGCAACGGTTTCTTATCTACCTATTTCCAGGCAACAGTTGAGACTGTTCCAAATTTCGTCGGCGACAGAAGACTTGTCTTCCCCTGGCTGGCAAAGATCGCATGCTGAGCGGGGCACCTGGTAGAGGAAGCCAGTCATACACGCACAGGTTACAATGAGGGGAAACGCATCCCACCCACGATAGCGAGGAGATGCTTTGAGG